GGTCTCAGGCCGAGCCCAGTTCCAGGGGGGGAACTGCTGTGGCCCAGACCCCCATGAGGAAGTCACAGGCGGGGAGCCCAGCGAGAGGGTCTGTCCTGGCCTCTGGGGGGCAGACTGGCTGCCTTTCTTCCCCCCCTCCCGTCAGCACCCCCACTTGGCTGCCCGCTCAGCACTTCCTGTCCTGAGGGCCCATGCATCCCCCGTCACCCGCAGGGAGCCTTCCTCCACTTCCCCCGGAGGGCTGGCCTGCGGGGAGGTCCGGCCGGGCTGGGCCATTCCTGACCCTGCGTCCCCCCCACACCCCCAGAGCCCCTGGACAACGTCATCGTCCTCTCTTCTGGGCCCCTTGATGCCACGGCGCCTGTCTGGCCTCCCCCCGGAGAAAACCCAGCCACCACGCCCCCTGCCCACAGCGTCCCCGTGCCAGCCACGGAGCTGGGCTCCACCGAGCTGGTGACCACCAAGACGGCCGGCCCTGAGCAGCAGTAGCGAAGGAAGGGGCAGGCGTGGCCCCGGCCCTCCTGTGGGCCATGGCCGCGGGGCTGGAGGTTGAATTCGGCTCTTCATCCGGCGTCCACCTGCCCCCTGTCTGGGAGCCAGGCTGCTCCCGGGGAAGCCTGCAGAACCACAGACACTGTGGGCCCAGGGGCACCGTCAGACGCGCATCCGTGCTTGGGAGCCTCGGGCTGTGACTGAGTGGCCGGGCACTGAGCGGAGGCCCCTCTCAGGGCAGGGAAGCCACCGCCACACAGAGCGAGTCTGGGAAAAGGATCCCGTGGGCGGACGCAACCTTGGTGGCTGGGTTAGAAGGTAACGCTCGCTCTCAGAGCTGCCCGCGGACCCGACCCAGTGGATGGTTTGCTTTGGGAGTTAATACACGATGACTTGAGGAACAGCCTGGATTGTGCTGACTCAGGGGCCTGTACCCGGGTCAACCCTGAGCGTGGACCAGGCTGCTGGGACCGGTGATGCCCTTCACTCCAGGACCGGCTTCCAAAGCCCCCGGCTCACACTGGAGCCTCGGCCCCTGGGGCTGACTGCACTCTCGCTGGAGGCGCAGTGAGCGGGCGTCTCCCTCAGACACCACCTGGGTCCCAGCTGCCTCCAGAGCTCACTCAGCCGGACCCAGGGCAGGGCTCAGGGCCTGCAGGAGGCTTCTTCATGGGCCTGTGGCCTGAGCCAGCGGGACCTGATGTCTCTGGAACCCTTTTCTCCGTGGCCTGCCCTCCCCAAGTCCTGGGCCCAGCGCTGGGTCCCCTGGCCTGTCTGTGCCAGCCCCTGGGCCCCCCACCATCCCAGCGGACTGGCTCCTCTGACAGTGGTGCCGCTTCGCGGGGCCTGGGGCTGAGACCATCGCTCCCACATCTGGAGCACACGGTACCCACTCAGCCTGCCCTGCCGGCCCTGCTACCCAGGCTCGGCCCTTCTGACCAGGGCTCCACCCTGGGACGCGTCCTCGGAAGGAGCACTGGACTGGGAGTCAGGAGAGGGGGTCTGGGTACCATTTTGTCCCCCTGTAGGACCTTGGCCACCTCTGTTCCCTGTATTGATGCTGTCGGCTCACCTCTTCCTGACTTGACATCAGAATTGCCCGGCAAATACCTGTCCTTCAGTCGACTCCTTTCCCAGCTCAGGAGACGATCAGCAGCCAGTCGTTTCCCGCCCCCCCAGGACCTGGACACTCACATCTAAGTCTCTTCGTAGCCACTCCCTCCCCCAGCACATCTCAAGGAGCCAGGTGGCTGGGGTGAGGGCAGGTGGCACGCAGTAGGCAGCAGGGTGAGGGGCAGGCCCTGCATGGCTCCAGTCGTCCACTCTCCTCCATCCGAGCTGATTCAGGCCACCCCATCCCCCAACCCACCTTTCCCACCGGTGCCCCAGCCGGGCCTGGAGGGGAAACAAGTGGTTGAAACGCCTCTGGGGCCTAGACATGCAAACCTCAGGCCCCACCGTGTCCGGGCTGAACCTCTGGCTAATATGCAGCTTCCTCTTCGGTCTCAGTTTCCTTTTCAGAAAAATGGGGGTGGGGGTAGGGGGCTGGATACAAAGTTCTCTTTGGCCTGTGACCCTCAGAGGAGAAGGACTGGACCCTTGGAGAACCCTCATGCCCCCCCACCACCACCATTTCACAGATGAGGAAACTGAGCCTCAGAGAAGGAGACTTGCCATTGTCGTCCAGCAGATAACAGGGAAGTTCATAGGGAAGAACCAGGAGCAGAGGCCCCGGGGAGAGGCGGGCAAGGAGGGGGTGTGTCTCGCCCCAGCCCGCCAGCGGGTCCCTACCTCCCAGGGCCTCCAGTCTCTGGCCCTCTGTTCTCGGCATTGCTTTCTAAGGAGCCTTGGAAGGTGACCTCACTTGGTCTTTATTATAGCACCTGGTGGAGGGGAGGGGGGGTTGTGTTTGCTTCAAGCAGATGTTTTTAATTTTAAACATCAAGGCATGCATTTTGTAGCTGTTTCGGAAAGTTTGAGACAGCAAGCCAGGACGGAGTCTACAGAAAAATGGCCCAAAATCCAGCAGCCCCAGGCCGCGTGGTGGATCTCCTACGTCACGGCAGTCATCCTAACACACGCGTTCATATCTTGACTGTCAGACTGAGCTTCCTCTCGCCTTTAAGCACTTCCTAAACAAGATGAAAACCTTACAAATGCCGGAAAGTCGGCCACTGGAGCGCTTGGTTCATTTCAGTTTTCACAGTGGTCCCCCCTTGTCCGCAGTTTTACTTTTGGGTTACCCAGGGTCCAAGAATATTAAGCGGAAGATTCCCAAAATAAACAGTTTGTGCGTTTTAAACTGCGCGCTGTTGTGAGTGGCGTGATGAACTCTCTCGCTGGCCTGCTCCGACCTGCCTAGGAGGGAAGCGTCCCTCCGGCCACCCTCCGGCCACGCTCCCTGCCCCGGGTCACGTCGCCATCTCGGCCTCGAGCGCTGGTGTTCAAGTCCCCCTTATTCTACGTAACAGTGGCCCCCAAACACCAGAGCAGTGGTGCCGGCAACCCACAGAAGCCACAAGTGTTTCCTTTAAGTGAAAAGGTCAAAGTTCCCTCCTTACTTTGGAAAGAGAGAAACTGTGCTAACGTTGCTAAGGTCTGCAGTAAGAACAAATCTTCTGCCCGTGAGATTGTGAAGGAGGAAAAAGAAATCCGTGCTAGTTGCTGTTGCACCTCAGACGGCAAAGGTTGCAGCCACCGTGAGTGGTAAGTGCTGAATTAGGCTGGAAAAGACATTACATTTGCGAGGGGGAGGCGTGAACAGAACACAGGTTCTGACCCAGGGCACCGTATTGTGCCGGAAAGCACTGAGCCCATACAGGCTGCGAAGACCCCTGAGTGGCTACAGTCACATAACTGTATTACAGCGCATGGTTACAATTGTTCTACGTTATTCGTTATTGTGCTAATCTCTTACTGTGCCTAATTTACAAATTAAAATTTGTCGTAGGCATGTATGTGTAGGAAAAAACATAGTATATATGGGCTCAGTACATCAGTGGTTTCAGGCATCCACTGGAGGTCTTGGACCCATTCTCCCACGGATAACGGGAGACTGCCGTATATTGTAACTGAGGCAGTAGCACCTTTATTTTTTGTCTCGTTAATCCTCACCTGAGGATATCTTTCCACTGATTTCTTTAGAGCAGTGGGAGGGAGAGGGAGAGACAGAGAGAAACATCGATATGAGAGAGACACATAGATTGGTTGCCTCCCACACACGCCCCTACCAGGAACCTTCAAATGAGGTAGGGGCCTGCTGGGGACAAGTTCTCAGCCAGGACTTGACCCCTCTGCGGGCAGGAAATTGGAAGAACGAGCGAATGACAATAGGTAGGTGGGACATGCTTTATTAGGAGCAAAGCAGCCACAACTGACTGTCGTGGCACCTTATACACGCGTGTGCGCGCACACACACACACACGCACAGGCTCAAACTAAAGAGGCCTCGTGCCAATTACTGCCACCAGTGCCATATTAACATAAGCAGGTTACTAAAAGTGTGCTACTGCTGAGTCCCTGCCCCCGCGCATGCGTAGGGCAAAGGGGGCCTTTAATACAGCAATACGCACTGCTGTGTCCTTGCCTGTACGCATAGGTGTGGCGAGCAGGCCTTGAACCTCTGGCGTACTCTGGGCCCTTCACTGGAATCAAACCCGGGACCCTGAGCCAACCGGCCGCTCGGCGGTAGCACCTTCTTGTACATAAATCTTTGCCGAAGTCTCTGTGTCCCAGAAGAAGAGTTGTTGCAACCAAAGGCCTCGACTTTCCTATTTATTTATTTTTAAATGTTTTTATTGATTTCAGAGAGAGGAATGGGGCGAGAGGGATAGAAACATCCATGATGAGAGAATCATAGATTGACTGCCTCCTGCACGCCCCCTACTGGGGATTGAGCCTGAACCCTGGGCATGTGTCCTGACCGGGAATCCAACTGTGACCTCCTGGTTCATGGGTTGATGCTCAACCACGGAGCCACACTGGCTGGGCACAGCCTTGACCTTTTTAAAGGCTCCTGTTGGTTGAATTGCTTTTCTGCACATCGGGACCAATTCATGTCCGTAAACGGGGATTAGACGGCACGTTTTGCTGACAGGAAAAGAGAGGCCAGGAGAGGTCAAGGTGTCTGGCCCAAGATACAGGGAGCGGTGGTGGAGCTGGGCTGGACCAGGCTCGGACCCTGCTCCTGCTCCATCGAGAAGGCCACGACACAGGTGCCCTCAGTGAGGGGCCAGCGTCAGGGACTGACCCAGGTTCTACTCCTTTCATCTCTACTCAGAGATTTCTCTCTCCAGCTGGTCTCCTTCTGCAGTAGGAGGGGTCCGAAGAGCCTGGCAGAGCTGCCTGTTGGGGTGGGGACAGAGGGAGGCAGCCCCCTGCCCCTGCCCCCTGGCCTGGCCAGTTTCTCCTGGAGGAGGGTCTGGGGTGGGGCGGCTGAAGTCTCGGTTCCTCCTGGGCTTCCTGCAGGCGCCTTTCACTTCCTGCGCTGCAGCCTGGCCCCGGGTGGGGGCGGGGAGGCCCAGCTGGCACGGCCAGAGGAGGAACCTGACCCCTCCCTCCCTCTGTCTCCGCCAGGACGGCCCTCGAGGCCCTCGCTGTCAGGAGCTGGTGCCATCTCTCTGGGCCCGTCTCCCCATCTTCAAAACGGAGCCCGAGGGCCACCCGCTGTTCAAGACGAAAGGTTAGTCGGGCAGGCGTGGCTCAGCGCTGAGGACCGACTTACGACCCCGAGGTCACGGTTCCATTCCCGGCTGATTCCCAGTCCGGCCATACGCCCGGGTGGCGGGCTCGATCCCAGAGTGGGGTGTGCAGGAGGCAGCCGACCAGTGATTCTCTCTCATCACTGATGTTTCTCTCCCTCTCTGAAATCAATAAAAAAAATTTCCCCCCAAAATTAAAGAGGTCATGGGGCAAGTAGGGTCCCCACCTAGGCGTGCCTCCCCCTCCTCCCTTCCCCGGGGGACAGGCGCCTCCTGCCCAGCGCCCCCCGCCTTCAGCATCCCCTCCGGGAAGGGGGTTTCTCAGAGCTGGTCTGGGCTCCGGGCTCAGCAGTTACCACCCCGCACTCACACGCCTGCTTGTGCCTGGGCCACTCGGGGTGCTGGGCGGTCAGCCAGGCCTGGCCACTGGGTCCCAGTCTGATGGGAGAGACAGGGCAGGGCGCAGGGACAGCACAGGGCGACCCCACAGGCTCGGGGAGTGTCCCAAGCAGGGGGGTGACGAAGCCAGCCTCCAGGGAGTGCTGATGAGTAGGAGGCCTGCCCTGAATCCTGAGGCAGTTTTCCGGCTGGAGTCTGTCCCCAGGGGTCTGTGTGCTGAGGTTTGGGGGCGAGGGAGCAGGAGCAGGGGAGCAGCTGGAGGGGTGAGCGCGAGGCCCGCGGGGACAGCCCCCCTCAGGGCACCCGAGCGCCCCTCCAGCCCACCACGTGGTGCCTCCCCCTTGCTTTCCTGGGGCCCAGGCCCCTCGCATTCCTCTGGGCGGAATGAGCGCCTATTTGCTCTGCGGGGGCGACTCTGGCCAAACGAGCTGAAATCTGACTTCTCCCCAATCTGTGCCCCTCCCCAGCCCCCGGTCCTGCCCGGGTCGCGGAGAGTGCGGGGAGCCAGGCAGCCCCAGCTCTGCCCGGGCTCGAAGGTGGGGAGGCTGCGGGACGCCGCGGGGGCGCAGCGCCCAGAGGGTCTCAGGGCATCTCCACTCCTTTGAGCTGCAGAGGATCTG